AAGGTTTTTGTGTGGGTCTCAAGGCAGCACTTGGATTGTAACAGTGAAAAAAAGCCACTAGCCTCTACTCCTTAGCAGCTCCAGGTATGTATGTCCTTCAACAGCAGGAGCAGGGTTTTATTTCCCATCCCATACACATATGCCAATAGGAAGGACAATGGAAATATTGTGGAGAAGGAGTGGCATGAATCTCATCTCTTTGACATAGCCACACAAAAAATGTGACCTTGACACAAGCGAGGAAGAACTCTGTCCCTTTAAAAAATTCTGTAACAAGCCATTTTCCACTGTAAAATTCAAGTAAAGCCCAACAAACAAACAAACAACCAAAAAACCACAAAAAACCAACAAACAAACAAAAACCCAAACAAACAAACAAACAAAAAAGACCAATGGCAGTCCTCGGAGCAGGGAAGTTAAGAGTCATATTTCTATTTGGAACATTTTCCCTAGCTGGAATAGGACTAATTTCCAGTACAGCGTTGCAAGAAAGGGCTCAGGGGTTTTTATTTAATTATACCTGGAGTTCTCCATTGTAATCATGCAGTGTAGGTAAGGTGTAAAACATGTGAGCTGTAAATGGTGAAGTGATTGTACACTGATATAATGTAATTATACACTTACACAGTGATTATGGCACTCCTTGAAATCTATTACTGAGAATCTTTCTGACAAAATTAACAAAAAAAAAAAAAAACCTCCAAGCATTCTATTAGAAAACTCCACATTACATATCCAAGGTTAGGTAAGAAAACTAGGTTCAATGCCCAGAACCTATCCCCAGTGCCTCATCCTAAGCTCTGCTGGTTTCAAACTCTGTCTAGCTTATGCCTAGCACTGACAGCTGGGCTCCTTTTTCCCACAGCAGAACAGGGGGTGAGGTGTGGTTGGTGGGATGTTAATGCTTCCTCCCTGTTTTAGATATAAGGAGGCTCTGATAGGATGAACACGTCCCTAAAAACCAGCCCAAGTCACAGATGTATGGGGCCAAAAAGGATGGAAGTGGATTATATCAGCTGTGAGGAAAGGCCTGAAAGCTATATTCAGAGGCCTGTTGGCACACAGTAAGGCCAGCCCTAGCAACATCAAAGGCTACAGCAAGGAGTTAGTTTATACAGTTTTGTCAGTTGGATTAGACTCTTCATTAGGATGCAGAACAAACCTCTCCTACTTGGCAGACAGGAGCAAGAAACAGAATAAAAATGGAAATCAGATCTGAGCCCTGAATTCCCCATTCAGCGAAGCCCTTCTTATTTGCGTAGGAACTCCAGTTTGCCTGGCTTTGTTTGAAATAAAGGTAACAGGAAATTTCTGGGCAGGATGAGGTCAAGGTCTCTTGCTTTGGGGCCAGCAAGCCCTGGGAGGACTCTTGAGTCAGAACAGCCCGTTCTAGGAGAAGGACAAGCAGAGGGCAAGAGCATTTGCTATGGGGTACCTCTACAGCTGCATCCTCAGCAGGCAAACTCAACAGGGAGACTTTGGAAAAGACCTTTCTTAGTTTGAGTTGAACAAGTAGTTGTCACACTGCATAGAGTCATGGACATTCTGACAGCAGGCAGGTTGTGCACTAGTCAGCTTCTTACTTTTCCCCTGCATCTTTTGATGAAGTTGCTGGTTTGTCTCAGTGTGTTTGTATGCTGGGAGAACAAGATTATCTGATTTTGTGGGTTCCTAATGCCTCTGACAGCATTAGAATATACAAAGGTCAAAAAGAAAAGCCTGAGTTTGCTCTCAATCATGTCAGCTTGGCTAAGGGGTCACTGGGAGGTTATGTAGGTATACTGCACAAATTCACTTTAAGGTCAGAAAGAAGCCCAAGTATTTAAAACAGGAGTTAGTTTTCTCTACCTACTGTATCATGATAGCAAAGCATGTTTATCTTTAAAAAGGTATTTTTTGCTATCCTTTGGATTTGTCTTTATTGTGTTTCATCAGAAGACAGAAGGTTAGAATTTGTTTTACAATTTCATATCCATTTTTATTAAGAGTTTCAGGAGCAAAATCAGACATAGTTATATAAAATATTTCTTGCACTGAAACGGGACTGACTGAAATATATTAGCAGTTGTCAGAAAGATAAATGCCCACGTTTCGCTCCATGCTGTTGAAACCTTTAAATCACTATTTTAGCCCTTCAAATTGCAAACAAAATGCTAATTTCTTCCTGCTATAGTAGAAGATAAAAGAGACTGCTAGTTGTAAGTAATCTGTACCTTGGATTATTTTATTAATATTGCAAATTGTAAGTAACAGAGCAATTAGGGTTAAATATGACCCCAGAAAAACAGCTTGACCAGTGCTGATCATCCTGCTAAATAGATGGAATTTAATTTAATGGAGGAAACAATAGGTTCCCTGTGGTTTATCTAATTAAGGTGATTTCCATAATTCCAATAGTGATTCCCACATCTTTAAAATTAAACTTGGTAACAGACAAAAAGATAGAGCTGCATTGGGATGGTAAGGGATGAAAAACATTTCTGATTCTGTCATGAAATACTCATTGCTAAATTTGTTTAATTTGGCCTTAACTCATTCCTGAGATAATCCCACAGTCTCTCTTCATCTGAACTATGTCCCTTGGATTTCTTTAAAACCCTCATATCTCTCTGGGTACCTTCTGTTGCACCACCTCAGAGCTTTTACATGCACTTAACATTAAGGGGCTCTAATTTTCTTCTCTCCTATACCTATTTTTCATCCATTAACTTTAATGGGATTGCACCTGATTTCAAGAAAACCAGACTGAAAAAAAGTCAGTCTTATAGTGCCCAAAGTCATATTCCATACTTCAAAAGTGACATTTTATGACAGTTTTCTGCAGAAATAAATTTATTTCCCTTGGCTCTACCTCAAAAGACAGCACTTTTGCTGAAAGACCTAACAGAAAGAAAGATTCTGAGGAAGATTATGAAAAATCTCTTTAACATTTAAACTAAAAGGCTGTTCAGGAAACTACAACTAGCTTTTAAAGAATTACAGCCAGAGATATTTTTTCCCAGTTCTTCCTTTTGTTCTTAAAAACCCAAATCAAACTTTAAATTTCTGGCTTTTGTCCCCATACATCGGAAAATACTTAGGATGCATTTTGGCAAAACTGAAGGAAATATTTTAAGAAAAAAAATTACTTGAAGCCAGAGGAAAAAAAATTTGCAATGATGCTTTCTAATTGTGAGGTTTGCTATTCACATAGAAGGCAGTAATATAGGTGCTGGAAAACAATATTATGCCTAGCATAAGCAAAGGCAAACATACAGCCACAAACATCATAATGTAACAGAATCTTATCCACCAAAGTTGTTCTTTCACAAATCAAACTACAGAATTCTCATCAAGTTAAAAATATTTCTGTATATATGTTTAAGTGTTGCCTCTCTTTCATCCTGTTAGTACCTGCACCTTTCATTGCTTACAGTGACAGAAATCCCATCCTACTGTTTTTCAACTATCTCCCCTGTTGTTTGCTCTGTAGGTTGCATGGGTGAAGCTTCTACACTGGAATTACAAAAGAAAGTCAGTAAAAGAATATGAGCTTCATTCTTTGCCCTGCATTTACTGCAGAGCCTGCCAAAACTAGGGCTGAGGTTTGCTGGAAATGTAATTATCTGAAATTTTGGTTGGTTCTGAATCAGACAGGAATCTTTCCTTTTTTTTTCTCACTCCATTCTAAAGGAGCAGAACTAATCTTGCTGAGCAGTTGCAAAGAGCTCAGGAGTTTCCAGTCCCTAAATGACCTGCTAAACAACTAGTCACAGGAAAGAGGCTGTTAGCAGAAGAGCCAGACACTCTTAGTCCTGAGGTCAGGAACTTCCACTTTTTAGCAACCTCTTCCCTACAGAAAAAAAAAAAAAAACCAGGAATCTGTGCAATCTGTTCAGAAACAAATTTTTTTCAGGTTTGTGGAAAATAGGAAACAATCTCTCCTCATGTCTGAGCTACTTCTGGATGGATAGAAATTAAAAGGTCTTTTACTTCAAAATGATTCATCAAAGGAGGTATCATGCCATTATGATTTAACTCCCCTGATGAAATAAAAGAAATTCCAGGAGATAAATCCACTCCTAACAATGGCATACATGGGGAAAAGATTTTGAAGTCAAGTTTGGTGCATATTGATTCCTTTGACATAGAACTGAAAACTCTGCTAGGAAGCAAGGCATTGTGTGCCTTATGGCCAGAGGAATGCCACAGCAGGATAGAGTAAGCCATGCTTTCTGTCTTGGGCTAAATATGGTCCCAAGTGGATTTCACCACTATCAGTGAAAACTTCCAGGATCAGCTCAGTGACTTTATGTATTGCAGAATGCTCCTTTCAGCTGGTATAGATGATACAGCTTTTATCACGGTAGATATTGCAAAATTCATACTCCCTCATGCTCTTTTGAGCCCTGTCAGAGGAAGATTTTCTCATGCATGAAAAAGTAAATCACTGGAACAGACAATTGATTTGCATCCAGTAATTTTACAATTCACTTGTCAGGACAAAACCAGGTGTATGACTATAGGTACAGATATGAACAGAATCTACCTTTTTCCATTTGTTTTGATCCCAAGTCTCTTTCATTCATGCTGCCAGAATTCTACTTTCCAGGGGACTGTGAGGAAAGATGAATTTCCTGTGACTAACTCAGTCTAGAGCATTAAGCACAGGGCTCAGGTGGGGTATGTGTTTCCAGCAGAGAACAGCTGATGCACATAGGGGAAAGCAGCAGGCAGGGATACTTCTGTCTGATAAGGCTAATCCATTGCAAAGATTTCTTGCATGCAGTTTCCCAGCTCCAAGTCTGTTTTACCTTTTTACACATTGACATAAAGCTCCAGAATGACTGAGTGGAAATCTTGATGAACTGCAAGAAACATGTCTCAAAAAATGCCACAAGAAACTCAGCACATTCTCTGAATCTATGACTGACCAAACCTACACACCAACAACATTCCTTACAATTAATGCATCAGTGACAGCCCTGGAGGCTGGTCATGCACACAGTGCCTGTACTCACAGTTTTCACAGCGATTTCCTGTATAGCCAGCCAGACAGGCACACTTGTAGGTGCTGCTTTTGTCCAGAATGCAAGTCCCATCATGAAGACATGGAGATGAAGAACAAGCTGTAAAAGAAGAGCAAGAATGCTCATGGTATCAAAAGCAATAATAGGATGGGGAACCTACCTGTTTTTCCTCATGGTGGCTGTGTCTTGGGGTAAATTTCATATTAACATGGTTAGAAGTTATAAAGACACAGTAAAGGGCCTGATGCATGTCAAAAAGTCTTCTGCCTTTACTTACTAGAGGAGGGATCTAATAGGGATAAGCAGTTCCTTTCCCAGCATACATTACTTTTACAATTTTCCTTTACGTACAGTCAAGTGGTGAGAAAAAAATAATTTACATCAAGTTCAATTATTGTTTAGAACTTAGACAAAATTAAAGAAGTCTAATAGCCTCCTACATTTTCCCTGCCATTCAACCCAGAATTTAGGGGTAAGTTCTGGGATCCATGGTTTTTGAGGGTTTTTTGTGTCTCGGACCATGTTGGTTTAGATTTTGGGAGTTGCTTTGTCCCTAGGAAACTCTTGCATATAACAACCTAACAATGATACACATCAAACTGTATACAGCTTGTATACACCAGCATAACTTAATACCAGAATATGTAACTGTGCATTAAACACCAGAAAATTCCATTGTGTAATAAGACGCACACATTTTTTGGTGCCTGCTCTAAGAGGAGATGAGTCAATAGAACTATTATGGTTTAACCCCAGCTGGCAGTTAAGTGCCATGCAGCCACTCACCCACCTCACCACGTCTGGTGGGGAGAAGAATTGAGACAGAAAAAATAAACCTCATCAGTTGAGATATGAACAGTTTAATAATTGAAATAAAATAAAATATTATAATGATAATAATAATAATAGGAATAAGAATTACATTGAAAGGGAGAGAGAGAGAGAGAGAAATAATGCTGGAGAGAAAAAAACTATCCACAACACAGTTGTTCACCACACCACTGACTGAAGCCCAGGCCCTCCCCAAGCAGCAAACCATCCTCCCAACCAACTCCCCCCAGTTTATATGCTGAGCATGATATTCTGTGGTATGGCATAGCCCTTTGGCCAGTTTGGGTCAGTTGTTCTGGCCATGCTCCCTCCCAGCTTCTTGTACAGCTCCTCACTGGCAGAGCAAGAGAAACTGAAAAGTCCTTGATTTAGAATGAGCACTATTTTGCAATCAGTAAATCATTAGTGTGTTATCATACAAAATCCAAAGCACAGTAAGGCCCCACGAGGGACTCCACTTGTCACTGATGTCCACTGAGCTGTTGACCATTGAGCTGTTGATGACCACTCTCTAGATCTGACCATCCAATCAATTGCTCATCCACCAAACAGTTCACCCATTAAATCCATCTCTCTCCAGTTTAGCCAGAAGGATGTTGTGGCCATGCCCAAAGGTCCTATGAAAGTTCATAGACATGACAGCTGTAGCCCTTCCCTTGTGCACTAGTGTAGTCCCTCCACAGTAGAAACCACCTAGATTGGTCAGGCAGGACTTGCCCTTGGTGAAGATGTTCTGGCTGTCCTGAATCACCTTCTTGTCCTCCATGTGCCTTAGCACAGCTTTGGGGAGAACCTGTTCCATGAACTTCCCAGGCACAGAGGTGAGGCTGACAGGTCAGTAGTTTCTGTGGTCCTTCTTTTTATCCCTTTTTTAAAATGGGTGCATTTTTCTCTCTTTTCCAGTCACCAGGGACTTCACCTAACTGCCATGACTTTTCAAATATCATGAAAAGTGACTTGGCAACTCCATCAGCCAATTCCCTCAGGACTCTGGGGTGTACGTCATCAGGTCCCATAGACTCATGTATGTTGAGGTGCTTCAGGAGCAACACTGATCATCTCTTACAGTGGGAAGGACTTTGCTGCCCCAGTCATTGCCTTGCAATCCCTCAGCTCAAAGAGTGTGGGAAGAGAGGTTGCCAGCGATGACTGAGTCAAAAGAGACAGGCTCTGGCCCTCCTTGCAGCCAGACCTGCATGGCTCCATGTTTATGTGGCTGCCCTGCCTGGGTTATCACCTCCTTTCTGGTGTGTGCAGAGGACATGGCTCCTGCCGAGGGGACATCATGGCTGCGCTTCATCCCAGGGGGTGCTGACCCCTGCCTGGGCTCTGCTCTGCAGCTGCAGCAGGACCTTGCTCTCCCTGTACTCCCAAGGTGCCATGAACTGCTGCACACCCTGGCTGCACCCTGGGCCGCTCTGAAAGGCCTGGGAGTACAGAGGCGTGCTTGTTCTGGCACTGTGCAGATCTCCTCAGCACCTCCCACAAGCTGCTCAGGTGTCTCCCAACTCAGGAAAAGCCCCCATGTGCCAGGATCTGTCACTGCCACCATATGGACCGACCTCAGAGCAGCTTCTCTCAGAGAAGTTTCTTACTATCCAGATGGCATGAGGTAAGAAATATATAGATGCCACATATAGATTTCTCTGGAGGCTTCATGTGGTGATGTAAGAGCAATTTATATATGGCCAGGCAATGAACATCTTCCATGTCCCATTGAAGATTAAGGCTTGAATAAGGACAGTAACTAGTTTGTTAAAAGAAAATACATATGTGGCAATTGTACTGTATACAACTTATGTAAAATATCCCTGAGAAAGCAAAGGAGAAGTAGAAGACTCCGTACAGACTGATATTTTTGTAGTCACTGGTTAAAGCTAGTGAACTTTTATCTGTGTCCCAGGTTTGTCTCCTGATTCTGGAAAAGTAAGCAAGTCAAGTGAGAATGCCTGACAATAAAAACCACTAAATATTTTTTCTGTTTTAAGGAGTCTTGATTTCCTGGCTCGAGTCAAACAAGGGACGATACTATAAACATTTAAAGCCACTATGTTATGTCCACTAGGTTGGGTGTACAGAAAGGAAAGCGTTATTGAAAGTCAGTAACTATCTTTCATCTAACTGGATCCAGCATATGTCTAATCCTTAAGAGACTCTGATAGCTCCCCATCTGGCCTCCCATGCTTCTCATCTGAATTCTGTTCAGTGACTTCTAGTCACTCATGCCAATTACTGGTTCCCATTTCACACTTGGCATGGGATGGGACCTAGCACCTGCTTCCAGACTAGGCAGCACAGCAGGTTGTGTGGTTTCATCCTTTAATAACTATACACACTGTGACATTTCCTAAAGGAGATATAGGCTTTGCAGCTTATTTTGTATCAATCAAGACCTTTCTGGAATTTGAACCAGTGATCCCTGTGCAGTGAGTGCCCCTGCTTCAGCAAACTATGGCTTCTAAGCCAGTACAGAGTTCACAGGAAGGGGAGGCAGAAAAACAAGGAATTCACTTTTGACATACTTCTTCAGTCCTTTCCACTACACCACTAAGATGCTGGGGGACACCAGATCACCTTCATGTCCTAGTCCACATCCTGTGAGCACCTCTGTTGCTACTGCTCTCACCTGCAGCATAAGGAATTGCTTTAGTAAGCCCCGTGAAATCTGTTCTGGGGACCTTGGCTCTTCCACAGTGCTGTGCACAGAGGGAAATTTCAGGGCAAATGCTTCAGTTTTCAATGTGCTGCCAGAGCTTTCGATCCTGTGCTGCCCCCATTTTCAATTCTATGCTGCCCCATGCACACCCTATTCTTCCCTTAAATGGTCCTGCTGGCCAGGTTAGCGCTTCACATAAAAAGACACTGGGAGTGTTTGAAAAGGCTTTCACTGCACTACACATTAGACCAGAACAGCCTCATAATAAAGTGCACAAATAGAGCTCCTCACAAACTCTGAGAAGCCCTTCACAATGTGCTCTGTGTGGATTACCACACTTGCAGCCTCACAGCCTCAGAATAATTACCACTCAAAAAGGGGCGGAAATAAAGTGCTCAACAATATTCAAATACCGAGTGTTCCCTGCTGGGCAGAGAAAACAGAACCAATTCAGCTTGCACCATATGGAAAATGTTAGTTCCCTGAGTGTAGGCAGCCCTTATGCAACATAGCCCACGCCACACTCATTTGTTCTATATCACTTCTCCTGCTGTAAGCCCAGCTATCAATAGCTAACTACTCCTGCTAACAGGTACTAAAGGTGACATCTGAAGAACAGGACAGGCTGAGAAATGGCATAGGAGCTACATCCAGAAGTATGAACATTTCAGATTTCTAGATACACCTCTGATCATTGTTAAGAGCCAGGTTTGTGTATTTATATAAGGGTTATATAAACTAACTAAATTTCCTGAGCCAGATATACTCTGGATGACCTCATGAAATGTGGGTCACTAGGGTGTACAGAAGGCAAGTTATGGTGAGTCATAGAACCTGCAGGGTTTATCTACGGCAAAGCAGCACACTCTGATTAGCCTTCTGTGCCAAATCTATCCGTAGATTTGACCAAAATTCCTTACATAGCTAAACAAGGAAGATCCAAGATGAGTGTGGAGGCTGCTGCAAATCCAATGGCAAAATGACAAGCCAGCAACACTTGCAGTGCTATTTTGAAACTATGGAAAGCAAGGTAGGGAACTGAAGTACTGAGTAGTAATGAAACCAGTAATTCTAGAACCCCACTTCTGTCATTCATAATACTGAGATCATCACAGAAATGGGAAACGCCTCTTCATTTTTTTTCTTAAAGAAAATAATTTGTTCTGTGTACACTTGGGGATTTTTTGTTTGTTTTGGTCTTGGTTGGTTGGATTTTTTAAAAATTCCTAATGGTACATGAGCCAACACAAGAGTTCTGTCAGGGCATTTTCACTGAACTATCCATAAGACTTTGCATCAGGTTTTTGCTGCTTGAGACAATGACTCTGCTCCTGCATACAGCAATGAGCAGTTCTGCCTCTGCAGTTACACGTGCCCCTTCCTCTACTTCCTCTGTGCTCTTAATTCTTAAATTCAAACAGAAAAGTCACACAAAACAGCAGCTTTTCTCTGCTGGCTGATGTGCTTGTTCTTCACACAAGTAGAAGGAATTCACTCTTTTTTAGAAGAGCCTCACATTCACATGCCATCTGACAGCTTTTGAATCTTCCCCACACTGACTTTATGTAAGTTGCTGTTGGCAACACAGCATGAAAGTTTTTAATGAAGCAAAACAGGCAAAGAGATTAGTGAAATTGAATTAATGAGAATGAGTGGCATGTTCCACTTTTAGATTAGGTTACCTGTAATTTCTTCAAAGACAGCATGAAATCCATCAAAGTTCTTGGATCCATCAGACTGGAAGAGGACATGGAGTGAAGACCCAGTGCTTCGGATGGGAGGTGGCCTCTCATTTCCACAGAATTTCTTTATTATTTGACTGTCCAAATTGTCCCCATCACGAATCTCCACATAGTCATACTGGCACATATAATCAAACTCCAGGCTCAGCATGGAAAATCTTGGGGAACAAGGACAAACAGTCAGACTGCTTACCTGTGTACCCTGAATACTATTTATTTGGGCACTTAGGTATTTAGGGCCTACCCCCCTCAGTGAATCAACAAGTCCCTAACCACACAAAGACCACTCACTCATCTCAATTTTTTCATCGTGATGCCTAGAAGCTGGCTCAACTCTATACAGTTGCTCCATGAGAACATTCAAGTATCAGAACAGTGAAGTCTAAATTGAAGTCATACAGTCTATACACGTACCTGCATTAGGTCCCTAACCATAATATAATGTCAGAACATTCATCCAGGCTCAGGCACTGCAGGGGGCATATTTCTACTGTTGTTGCTTGCTAAAAAATGTTCTATTTGCCCTAAATAAAGTTCCAAGTACTGAAAGTTACAGTATAAAATAACAAGCTTCAAAAGCTGTTTACATTATGATGTTCAGAAGTCAGCAATTAGGGATACAAGGAAAGCTTGGGGATGTAACAGAAGCAGAAACAGCCACAGAAATGGAATCAAAATACTACAGCACGTTTTGCATTAGAAACAAAATGGTAGTAAATCCCCAATGTGTGGCACTTGCCCGTCTTTTGAGAGCAGAAATAAGGCACAGGAATTAGTGCAGAAGGGAAATACTTAAAGCCTTTTCCCACAATGTCTGTTGTTTCCTAGCTTCGATCCAGCCACTGTACAGGGCTTTTGTTCATTAACAGCCATGCTATATGCTGCCATTGGAATTCAGGTGGGCACAGAGCCAAAGCACCCCACCAGAATATGAACGAGAAACAGAAGGAGAAACACCAAGTGCCTCTGGAGAATGTGTAATGGTCACGGGGGGCTGGGCTCAGCCTTGGTACAGCAGGAAAATGAGAAGAAATGGGCCTGGGAGAGGCTGTGCTGCTAACTGTTCAGCAGGATATTTTATAAATGAAACACATTATGTACTCGATCTTCCTTAAGACTCCTAACACTGCAGATGTGTACTTAGGATTAGGCTTTATCTCCCACATTGCCTATTTCAGTGTGGGCCTAGTGGTTTGCAAAAACTGCATTTTCACACCAAAGAGGTGAGACAAATTTTGGATCTGCTCCTGGACTTCACAGTCTGAAGGGAAGAGAATTCTGGAGCCTGTTTCATACTATTCTTATCTTCAGACTCAGGCACCCATGTTAAGGAGGCCTCCATGTTCCTCCACCTTCCCTTGACAACTCACGAGCTGACTTAAGAGGCCTCTTCACTGAGTCACCTTTGTTCAGGTCATATGGCTGGTTCTTGAACATCACGAGTACACTATCTACAGAAAAATGACTGAGCAGTTGTAGGAGGCTGCACCAGTGGAGCAGAGCCCCTCATTTTTTTAAATCATCTGATGGAATGTAGAAGAAAAAACAAAACATCTGCTTTAAATATGCATTAGAGAGAAATAATTCAACTTTGCTTTGCATAAAATGCATGAGTTGAATTCTAGTTCTGTCAGGTCTGTCAGAGACATCCTCACACGTATCAGGTTATACACTACATTTTCAAAACATTCTTTCACTGGTGAAACATACCCCAGGGATCTACCCTTATGGAAGTTAGAGAGGAATAAAAATTAACCCATTCATCTTTGTCACACTTATCAGGCTACACTTTATCCTGACCCAATCCTAAAAATACCTTCTGGTTTTCTGAACTGGTACATTTCTGATTAAAATTAAGTATGTGTGCAAGTACAAAAGGAAAATTTCTGGAATGCCCACCATATACTGGGAGCAGTATTATTTATAGGTGTAAAGGTAATTTGTGTCTTGATGTGTGTCCCTGAACAAAGAATGTCAAGACATAGACACAGAGAATGAAAGAACCATACACAGAATACTGGTTTTAATTGTTTGCTTTCTCTGTTTTAAAAAATGATGAAAACAGAGTGGAAAATGTGAAAGGCATAGGGGTTCTGAGTTGCATTTTATTTCACTTGGCAAAGAAGCAGATACACTGTACTGATGACATGGGATCCTGTGATTAAGACTCAGAATTGGCAGGTCAGGAAACCTGCCAAAGCTTTTAAAAACCTCCTGGCTATGGCCCAGCTGACAGGATCCTTTACAGACCATGAGGTCTATTGCTGTTTAAGCCTCAGGTACACACAATTCAACAGACCTCAGTTTCCTCACCAGTGAAAACATAATTATATAATAATTATCTTGGATATTATAAAACTCAGCATGCTAACTTTGTGCCACAGGTCATCAGATAAAAAATGGAATGAGAAGTATTGCCTTGATTTCATCAGCGGCTGCAGTGGGCATCTATTGGCCAACCCCTCTGAGGAAAGCCTCTAGCCAAAGGACATATTTAAAACTGCATCTCTCCTGAGGCACTAAAGAAAAGAATTGAAAGTTGTGAGCTACTTCCACTGTGATATGACATCCTTGACATGACTCAGGCTGAGTCATGAGGGAGCCCATACAACACGACCCAAAAAAAAGCCCCAAGGCTGGGAAAAAAAGCAGAGAAAACAAACTACCACCACAACATGGACACTATTTATCAAAATAGCTCTACTGAGCCAACCCCTGAAGGACTGCATGGCACAGCTTAAAGCAAGGGAAGATTTATCTGTGCTCCTGGGAGTTTTACTCTTCCTGCCCTATGCAAGCAAAGACAACCACTTTGTTTGCCTTCTGTATTATGCTGTCCCTATCCCTGCCCTTGCAAGCCAGGGTGGCAGCAAACAGGATTTGTGCACAGAGAAAATGAAAAAAGGAGTTCTTTTGTTGGCAGTTGTGCTGATTCAGCACAGTGTTGGCTGTGCATTACAGCTCTAAGCAGTTACCACCCACAGAGGGGATCAGCACGTTTATATGAAAATACAGCGAAGGAAACGTGGATGGCAGTCCCAGGAGGCAGGCTCTGTTGGTTAGCTTAAATGAACCTGTCCTTCTGGGTAGGAGTAGCCTAAAGGTGAAGTTTTTAGGTTAAATGTACATGTTTTCCACAATATCTAACTGCTGAAGTACCTCAGTGGACAGCTCTGAGGTGCATCTTGAAGATGTCAAATGACTTAGACCACACTACAGGGTTACCTTCTTTGAGGACCTCCCGTTCCATCTTTGCCAAGATGGTTTCCTCTATGCCTCCTGCAGGACTTGCAGGGTGGCAGGGTTAAGTGTGGATATTCAGGAGAGCTCCTGATCTTTCACTGGGAGTGCTATGTCATCTGCTGAGATTTCTAGGCATTCAGACATTAGGCTCATCATCAGACCAGGCAAAGGGCTTTATTATTAGCCAGCTCAGATCAATTAGATGCTGAAAACAGAAGTTTGGTAGTTCAGGCTTCTCTCTTGGAGACCTTCATAGCCGAAATGTAACATCAAGGTGATACCTAGTATTATGTTTATTTGATTGCAGGAAGGATGGACATAGGGAGGAAGAGAAAGGCACTCTTGTGTTAAAGTTTTCCATCTTCTGTAACAGCAAAGTTGAACAGTGAACTGTGAATCATACCATGAACTGTATGGATCTCATGTGACACATCTTCCTAGTCTGTGTGTGGGTAGCCTTCAGGGTCTAGAGTGGAAGTGTGATTTCTCCAAAGAGTTAGTACACCTGTTAACTACAGCACTCCCCATTCTACTGCTTTGAAAACAGATCAGAGTCTCCTTCGTGCAGCCACAGCAAGTTCTGCTGTTCTTTGCCATAGTGTTCTTTGCTAAGATAACCTCTGGTCCCTTTCTTGCATCTTGTGCCTGATGCCATCTGGCTGTTAACACTTCACCCAGAGAGAGGTGCATTCAATAATTATATGCATGCACAGGATCCATTTTCACTCTCACACATCACATCCCCACTACAGCAAAGACAGGGTGACACCTGTAGGGCTTGAAGCACGTTTTAAGCCTCCCAACTGACAAAGCCCTTTTCAGAAATGTAGAAAAATATCATCTCCCTAAGCTTGTGCTGTGCAAATCATACACCTCACCAACAATATATCTTAAAAAGAAGGCAGGTACAGTCCATACTGACTGACACTGATGCAAAGTTGTTTCATGTGAACAGAAAACTCTTCCTCACAGCATTCTTCTTGTGTCTGCTACACAATGCTATCTAGGCAATAACAGGTCATAATTACACAATAGGCTTACATTTGCAGGTCTGAAAAAAGTGCATTAGTGTGGGAAAACCACAAGCTCTTCTTTTCAACCGATCTGTTGTTCTTCCTCCCATTAAGCGTCTCTTCAAACATATTTAAACTGTTTAAAAGTATTTTAACTGTTTATGTATCTAGCATAGTTCTTTTGCGTGGGCTCCAAAGTCGGTGAAATATTGAAGGGCTAAGCTATTCTTTTTATTATATTAGATAGTGTGTTTTGAATACCATCCCCTGCCATACTTCCTGCTGCATGTGTGAGTACCCTGCTGTGTACATTTGGAAACATTATTAATTACATCAGCAAGAGGGCTCTCCTGCACTAGGCAGGAACTGTGAGCTTGACTCATTAGGGGTAGGTTAACAGGTCTAAGCATACACAGCTCAGAAGAGCGATGACAGGACAATAGGACACAGTTTTAGGCTGTGTGAGGGGAAGTTTAGGCTAGACATTAGGAAAACATTAAACACTAAAGGAGTGATGGGGCATTGCAATGAGCTGCTCAGGGAGGTGGTGGAGTCACCATCCCTGAAGGTGTTTAAAAAAAGACTGGATGTAGCACTGAGTGCCATGATTTAGCTGATAAGGTAGTGTTAGGTCACAGGTTGGACTTGATCTTCTCAAAGGTCTTTTCCAACCTAGTTAATTCTGTGATTCTGTGACTTGCAGGAGAACCAACCACATCCTCCAGATGCAGGAATGGTGGGAGGAGTAACTGAGGCTGATAGAAAACAGGGTTGGTGAAAAGACTATTAAAAAAAAAAAAAAAAAACCTAAAGAGAGGGAAAATGAAGGCTAAATGCAAGGTAGGACTCATGGACAACTCTCTCCTTGCATGAGACATTATATTAAAACTTTCTTACATCTTTTCTTCAAAGAATGTCTTAGTTCAGCCTGGTACAGCTTAGTTCAGAAAATATTGGCTGCTTTGCTGTCAAGGTCTTGAAAACAACTCTAAAGAGACACGTGCCCAATGCCTGAGAAACTCTCTTCAGCATCCATCTGTCCTTAACGGGAATTTAAAGCACAGCACTGATCTGTCCAGAGCCTGTCCATCACAAGCTAGACCAGGGGAAAGAGCTGTGGTACCAAATGCAAAGTGCTTGCAATACCTTTACTGCCCCAGGGCTCACAGCTGCTGACCCTCTTTGACTCTTGGTTACCCACACAACCCCATGTCCACCTGAAATCAGTGCTGGCTAAAAGTCAGTAGGACCCACCTTAACTCGATGTTAAATCCAGCTTGAACATGGATAGTCCATTCACACCGTGCATTCAGTGGGTAACCCTCCAGCAAAATCTGACCTCTGGAAGCCCGAAGAACCTGCCCACACCCTGGGGAGAAAAAGAAGAAAAAAAATTGTGTGAAGGACCTTCAAGAGACATTTGAAGATAATATACGTAGAAATAACACCAGAAGGAGATGACAGGATGGCTTAGGAAGATACATACACTCTTTCTTACAAGGCAGTATATAAAATACTGGGACAGCCACAAAATGGTTGTAAAGAGTTATGACTATATTGGAGTATTGTCTAGGCTAAGAGTACCCCCGGGAAGATTGTAGTTGATTGCTTTTCCCTGGTTTGCAATGCAACTTCATGGAACCATTTCTTGCAGCTTTTGCCTCTCTGTTAATTAGCCCACCTACACACCTGGCTGATGCTCTAGCTCAGAACAGTTTTGATGGAGCCCATGCTGACATTTGCAACCACTGACCAAAAATCTGTTGCACGCAATGTCATGGTTGCTAGTCCTCCATACAGAGACTGGGATGAAAGAGCTGATATATCATAGAGGACAAGTTTATCCTCAGGATTCACTACATCATCCTTGCGTGTTAATGCCACCATGCCAATGAAGATATATAAACATCACAGCTCCTCTATCATCAGCGTGACACTGATGACTCAGTGTGACACATATAGAATATACAGCCCTTATCTCTTCTTTCAGGTTCATTCTTATTCTTCCTCTAGTCTTGTTCCACTCTGCCTCTGGCAGTTTTTCACCATACTATGGAATGTACTTCAGCACCAACAGGATACAATTAAGTACTCCAGTCATTTGTGCCCAATCTAAGAAAACCATCAGAGGACAATGAGCTGAACAAACAGCAGACAAGGTCACACCAGGGGAGCAATATCTTTTCATGACAATCCTGCAGCTGTCCCTAGGCATCTGTCCAGGGATAGTTGTCCTAATTCCTCATCTTGAATGCTGAACATTTTTAGCCCAGAGAGTTCTCTCACCTTCAGTAATCTCTCCATTTTCCCCAGCCATAAAATATGGCTAATTATATTTTCCTCTGTGGAAGATGCAAAGTTGTTTAGTGATTTTTGCAGAGCTTACTGTGATCTGCACATGCATGTCCTAGCCAAATACACAGTTAAATCACTATGTATCAGAAAGAGCTAATTTTTTGTTCCTACTTTCCTGACTACATCTTTCTGAGTGGAGTCTTGCACATGGCTACATCTCCTGGAAAGCCTTCTGTTGCTTTGCTGGAGTATGTGGCTATATCTGTAAGGCAAAAATTGCATTTCAGTGTAACAGCATCTCTCTAATCAGGAGAGTCTACACACCGCAGATGAGGATAAGCAAAAAGCTGAATGACCCAAAAGACCTCCACAGCAATTCTCTCACATCTTTTTACCTCTTCAGTCCGACAGAAAGCTCTCCTGCTTCCGTCTGTTTCCCTAGAGAAACCCTAAGCTTTTAGCCAGTAACCCAGGATGAATGTTTCCTACTGAAACAGAGGGTTTTAACACTTGCCTCCGGGCCCTTCCTTCCCGAGGGAGAAAGGGTGACAGTGACCTGATTTGGTGAAGGACCGAGCATCTGTGGTTCCCATTGATCATAGTGTCTGGAAATCAATCCTGCTGCATCTGGTCTATGGGGAAACATGAAGACTGCAGGTCAATTCCTCCTCTTTCTTCTTAAGAAAGTGTTGCTCAAATGAAATACCTTTTGTTCATTTACCCTCGGTTACCCTTAATTAAGCAGGACCCAAAGAAACAGAAATCCTGCTCAGAAGAGTTCCTCAAAAGTGTTTCATCCTCTTCTGTGGCTCGCTCAGTTCTCTCTGTAAAAGGCGAGGATTAATGAGTGTGCCCAGCAACCACATTAGGATTCAATGAGTACAGCAGGATCTGCTGTGGTGAAAATGATAATGCTCCTTCCCACAGCAAGAAACAGGCCCTTGTGCTGCCATTGGCTCCTGCCTCAAAAACAACCTGAGACAAAGCTGCTAGAAATCTTCAGAGGGTTTGACAGGGGGCTTGGACCACCTCAAAGAAAGTTTCCCTTTCGTCCTGAAGGGCTTTTGAGTTTTCGATGCCTTTAACAAAGGAAAGCCAAAGAACTGGTGCAAAGAGATACTTGTATGCACGGCATACTAAACACACTTCTCTGTTTGCTGTGGTACAGCCTGAACTCTCTGAACACTGGCGCCGAGGAAGTAGGTTTGGCCAGCAAAGCAGGTGGTCCAGAGACTAAAGAGGAGCTATTCAGTGACCCGCTCCAAAAGAACGTTCTCAGGTCTGCTCCCACCCTTCTCTGCATGAAGCACCTTTGCGATCACATCAAATCTGTGCTCTTTAATCTCCAGCGCTTCTAGAAGTTAGGCTGACTCCCCAGACCAACAGTTCAATCATATGATGATCAAAAGGAGTCTTTTCTCTTCCTATTCTAAATCTGCAGGAGACCTGGAAAGCCCTCAAAAATAATTTACATCATAAACACAAATGCTGGCAAATTCTGCCTCATTTACAAAAAAATAAACCACTTTGGCAGAGTATCAACATCCTTGTTCCGTTCCTGTTCCTGAAAAAAAGGCAGCTTTCAGGGCCACAGTAAGATTTCCTCCAAGGCTTGTTACTAACAGAGAATAAAAAATTCAGGAGACCTCTGAGTTGTAGCCCACAGAGACCCTTGGGTCTATGGAGGGAAAGGTCCTGAGATGACCTTTGGTAAGAACCCATTATCTTCTGTTTGAGTGCTGCACCTTAGATGTGACGCTCCTTCAAAGGTCAGGATGACTGAACAGAGGAGAAAGACAGGAGAAAGGTTTCTGCTATTCAGAAACAGACTGATACGAGAAGGCAGCTGTCACTTGTCACAACTTGTTGCTTCCTGTTGGTTGTTGGTCACCAGTATTATGCGAAACAGCAATGTTCCGAAGATTGTTTGTTTTGAAATGTTTTGAAACTTGTAGTTTCAAAAACTACAAGTGCTCTTGTCTGGCACAGGGTCCACATTTGGACAGCAGAGCTGAGAACAGCTGTTAGAAAACACCACTTTCTCCCCTGCTTTGATGGAGCATGTGCCTTGAAGTGACATTACAACTTGGGGCTGGCAAAAACTGTTGGAGCGCAGGGTACAGAGGAAAGGGTTCTGCAGGGCTGGTTTTCTACTGGTTTTAGAGCCTGATGTGGCTTTTGGGCCACGATGATTCAATCCAAGAGAAGTCCCATTAGGAAATATCCTAGCACCCAATTAAATCTAGTCAGCGTGCTTATTTCCTAATAGCACTCCTTTGGCCTACCCTGTATAATTTATCTTGTTACCAAATGATCTGGTATCCTTTGGTGGTTTTTCAGCCATACCCATGCTTCCAGCTATGCCAGCGGATACTATAAACCTGACAGCCCCATGGGCCATCCCGTGGTACTTCTCCCTTGCCATGGCCCTCTATCATCGCTACTTTTGCTGGCAGCTCCCACAAACCTCTCCCGGAGGCTCACGCTGAGCTGGCGAATGCACTCAGCCCCTGGAGCGCTGCCGGGGGCTAGGCCTCCCGGAGGTGCCCAGACCGTGCCTCACAGCTCCCCCGGCCGTGTACGGTATCAACAGGCACTGATCCTGCCCGCAGATCCTCCGCGTCCCCCGCGCTCCCCTCCTGCCGCCCATCCCGCGGGATGACCGGGGCCTCACGGCGCGGCTCCCGCGGGCCCCCGCCCGCCCCCTACCGCCCGTGGCGCTCGCTCGCCCTCCCGGCCGGCCCCGGCGCCGGGAGCCGCAGCACGGCGGCAGCGCCCGCCGGCCCCGCGAGAGGGAGACAGAGCCCGGCGCTCCCGCCGGGAGCTGCCGCCCGCCTGCCCGCGCCGCGCGAGAGGCCGCGCCGTGCCCCGGCAGCGCTGGCGTTGGCAGAGTGGGACAAGTAGGCAGGATTTACATCCCGTGTTACCGTGGTGGATCCTCTTTGTAATTCTGGGATTTCTTGGCCCTCTGCCGCTGGCGAGGCACCCAGGGCTGGCTGCAAAGTTTCAGCTGTGTATGCAGTACCAGAGAGAGATGGCTCCTCCTGTGCTCTCCCAGATGTGGTGGGTTAGCACATCCACGGCTCCAGCAGCCTGTGCCCCCAGGCATTCCAAGGCTACTTGCTGGCCACCCTCCAGACCCAAAGCCACATCGCTGGCAGGCGCGGTCCGGCACCCACCATGGTTATGGGCTGCTTTCCAAACATGCAGTTTTCCTCATGCCTGAGCCTACCATCAAGGCCAAAATCGAGACAGCCGCAAAAGGGAAACTCAGGATGTGCTGGCATCACAGCTATCCGGCGTCCCCTCTTTAAGAGTGGCAGAGACAACAGCACTGTCTAACCTCCCACCCCACCTCTCAAGTACCACAGAAACACATGAAAGAGAACGCAGCCTGTGTCACACTGCTTCCCTTAAAAGAGCAAGTAGTAAGAAAAATGTTATAAGACAAAGCTGTCAATTTCAGTACTGCAAAAATATCCAAATAGACCTCTGTGTGAAGGTGTATTCACTTCAATACAAGTGGGAAGAATAAACTGAAATATACTGTAGGCGACCAGGCAGATGGAGGAAAAATTAGATGAGTTACTGACTCTTTCTTGGCTCTTCTTTTAAAGAAAATTCCAGAGAAGCTCTAGCATGCACCTAGAGAAAATGGGACTTTAAAGTGTTCTCAGAAATCACACCGTAAATGGCAGGGGACTCAGTTGATCAACTTCCAAAGCCTCAAGGTTGAGTTATCTCTGTTGCTGAAACATCTTGATTCCCCACATTCTGCTATTTGAAGCAAGGATTTAATTTTATATGCTTTCACCACCTGAAAGGTCATGGGCAGTGTTGTGAATGCAAGTTAAATTGCTTTAAAATCAGTGACTAAGAGGATACAAGCCTAAGGTATGTAGCACAATGGACAGAACAGAGTAGGGAAAGCAGACTCTGCTTTTATCGCTTCCAGCAAAATATGAACAAAGAGACAGTCAATAAAAATTGAAAGAGAGCTTCACCTTCACTGGTGGAAAATTGGTGAAGGAAATACCTGTCTTAAACACTATACAGTTAGCTGATGGAATTAATTATTGAAAGACAGAATTGGGATTAACAACTTAGCAAAACCAAAAAGCAGGAGCTTTTGTACACTGTCAGGTACAAAACCTTTAGATATTGCTACCAGGACCTGAAACAACTCATTGTTGTGACATAATCAGAAGCTGCAAGTTAGTGTTTTCTAGAGGCACCTTGAAGTGTGCTGAAGATGTGTGGCAGGGGAAAGAAACACTGGGATATCCTTGAGGCTGGCAGGGGCTGAAGAGGGCAAGCTCTTTGATAAAGCTGTTGCCCTTGTAAATGTTTATGCTTATGCTCAGGGGCTATGATGACGTGCGTCCAAGAAATGCAGATTACAGAAGATTTTCCAGAGTCATGGTAGTTAAAGTTTTAAAATAAACCAAACCCAAACAGACATTTAGTAGGGTTCTAACCCACCATGACATGAGTTCCTCTCAGACAAGCAGTGGGAGAGGAGTTTTTTTCCTAATTGTAGATCTGCTTACTGCCTGGTTGTGTTTGCCTTCTCCTGCTTGTGCCGTTTGCAAGAGTTGCTGTGCAGGAATAGCTGGAAAGGCACAGCATGGCCCTGGCTCTGTCCCACCACTCCCTGTCCCTGACATCCCTCCCTGCCCATGCGGGACACTTACTCATGCAGTCCCCTCCGTACCAGCCAGCTCTGCACTCTGCACAGTAGATTCCCTTGATGTAGAAGTCGTCAAGTGTCCCTCCCCAGGAACCATTGCGACAGGACTTGCAGTTCTCAAAGATGGTGCAACCTAAAAAGAGATCCACTGTGTTAGACGAAAGCCAAGGTGGATTGTCCTGCAGGAAGAGGAGCAGCCTCTCTGTCTTTTCCACAGAAAATGCCAATGACGTTAATTACTGCAGAGCTGCTGACAGCTCTCCCGCTGGGAACCATACCCAACCTCCACACCCTAGGCAGCTCAGACTCTGAGATTTGGAACCAAACTCCCAGTCTGACTTGCCCAAACCTCTAAATCTCATTGCTCCAACTGAAATGCCGCTCTCAGGAGTCTGAATGTGTGTGCTGATGCCACTTGGGCCCAGCTTAAATGATTCTGGTGACTTCTAAACTGGTCCTAGATCCTCCTGCTCTCTCCTCCTATCGCCTTTCACCTTTCTTTTTCCTCCTTGCTTGTGGGACTTCCAAGTTGTCTCTCCTTTATTTGCTTTGGGGATGCAAATCAACCAAGAGTACCACTAAAACACTCCTGGTGTGAAGCCAGCTATAGTGTCACCATTTGGCAGCTTCCAAGCCTGCCCAAGACATCCTGACAACACTGCTAGTAGAAAGTGTTGGGTTTTTTGGCCAGTGATGCTACCTGCTTTGGAGGAACCTTGAGTGGCAGATGAAGTTCCTGAGGAAATGCAAAACAATCTCATGCCTCAGTGAGATGTGCTTTTTCACCACTGCCCTGCCCAGCATCTGCCATGATGCCTTGGCCAAAGACTTGGTGTGAACACAGCATAGCCACAAACACACCTGGGTGGATTAAACAGGAGTCACACTCGTTCTCCTCATTCCTGCAGCAGGGAATGGTGTAGCCCACTCTTTCTTTCTGTCCTGGGCAGATGCACTCGATTTGGTCGTATTCACAGCATTCCCGACACATGATATTCCACTCGGCTCCTGGGCAGTTTTCATTGATCACTGTGTACTCTGCAGAGAACGGAGAGGAGGACACACAGAAACAATCCATTATCTGATCAGGACTGGCAGGGTCTATTGTCCAGGGGTTTGTCATGAATCATGGATGGCATGAGGCTGGCCAAGGTCTTCAGCCCAGAAAAACTCAAACTATGTGGCAACATGTGCCTGAAATGTCAGTGTGGTTTGCATGTCTAAGGAACACGCAGGAGTTTTACAGTACCAGCCAGAGGAAGCAAACAGACCAGAGGGAAGGAATATATTTGCTTTTTCTGCAAGGCCTTCCCACTTCTGTGGTGAGAAAAATAGCTTTAAAAAAACAGAGGATGATATCACATGAGAAAGTTTCTTCAGACTGCAGGACTGATTTAAAGCACCGTCTATAGTATAGATTGTTTAAACTATGAAAGCATGTTCTGGTTGTATTTCTGCTTGTGAATTTTCTATTCTTGAAAACTAGGGGGCTCACCAGGAAAGGCCACTTTTAAAGTTGGATTTTAGCTGGTTTCACTCCCTATTTTCACCCAGAAGTACATGCTGTTACATTTCACTTCACTGCTGAAGGAGACAAGATTTTTGTTGTTTTTAAAGGTTTGTTTTGCCTGGCATTTCTAATATGGCAACATCTTTCTGTTATTTAGCATAACCTCATATGATATCTAAGCTATGCTGGAAGTACCCTTTTAAGAAACAACCTTAGACTGTGACTCAGGACTGCCACAATAAGTGCAGATCCTGCCTTTCCCCACCAGTGTGCTGTCTAAATTCTACAAAGAGAGATCCAAGGAGTGCACAGAGATGTCAGCATGCCTTCTAAGCAGCTGACAGCACTGATGACTGCTTTCATGGAGTTTGATAGTAAAAAGAGAGAGCAGACTAGAAAGATGAGACATGAAAGAAACTTAATGAGACTAGCTCTTTTTTCCCCTTCTATCCTCCTCTTTTTTCTTTCCCCCCCCCCCCTCTTTTTTTTTTTTTTTAATTGTGGTTAGGTAACAACCTTTTTCCTTGTGTATTAAACTCTGAGTAACAGGGCTGCCTTGTCATGAAACAAGCCCTGTATCTCTAAGGTGAAACACTCCCATCCATGCCTGTACCTGTCTCCCTTCTCACACAACTGTTTTTTTGTTTCATTGTCACTGATAACCTAATTACTGTGCCTGCTGGAGCACCCTACCACTGAGCCTTGCTGCTCTGTCTCACTTGACTCTCCATGACCTCATGGAGCCTGGTTGCTGGAAGCTTATCTTCTCCCCTAATGATTTTTACTGACTCCATAAAAAAGGACCACCAAACTGTTTCTTCTTTTTTTTTTTTCCCCTTTGGCTGGGAAATGAAATGCAGCCCTTTGTGCTCCTCAGAACCGAGCCTTTCCCTTGTGCCTGTTGTACTGATCAGGGAGAGTCCGCTGCTGCTCTAAGTTTAGGAATGAGGCTGCTGTTTATGCTGAAACCTTTTCATCCCCCCCTCTCTGCCCCTATAGTCATTCCAAAAAGAAAAAGCTGTTCCTTCCATCCAATAAGTTTCTGTATTTGTTCATTCCAGTAGTGGAATCTTGCACTGAAATAATCATATTGTTCAACAGTTACAGACTCTTTTGCCTGTAGGTCTTGACATGCTTTACAAAGTTCTTTTTCCAGATGGAAAAATGAAGCACAAGGGAGGTGAGGTGACTTTGCTCAAGGTCCCAGGGAAAAACAATGGTAGAGTTGGGAATTAAACTCATGACTTTTAATTTCCAGGATGGCAGTCAAGCATCCTGGCCAGGCTGGCGCTTCTTAACCTATGGCTATTATTCCCTTTTAATTAAGCCTTTTATCTGTGAATTGTATCTGATTCAGATTCCAGAGAAAATTAATTACACACCTCTAATTATCTCTGTAGAACTGACACTCAGTTTGATACATCTCACCATACAAGGCAGACAATAGCTGTGTCTCTGGTGTATGAGGTGGGGGTCTCACTCCTTCCTGAAGCAGTACTCTTTAAAGTCTGACTAATAAATAACTACCCAACACTCAGAGCTTTTGTAAAGCATCTTTCAAATTCTCATTTTCTTCTAACTCAAGATAGAAATCTAATTTATCTCAAGCTTGCTAAAGCCTATTAATAAAGTGGATATATTATTCAAGAGAATTTTTTGTCTGTAAAATGATCCAAATATTCACAGGCAAACTTACACTGGGATGACAAAGGAATGTCTCCATCCCTGCAGGAACTCAAATCCTGGCAAGATAAGGCTGTGAGTAGCACAACTTTCAAGTTAGCACTGAGAGATGGGCTGGACCATCTAGGTGGCATCCAGAGGTCCCTTTCAACCTAAATTACTCTATTCTTCCCTAAAATATTACACATGTATTTTTATGTAGGTAGAGAGTGTGAATGTGTGCATATGTGTATTTATTTTCATATGTAGAGCTTGTGTACACAACAGAGCCAAAAAGCAGAGGCCACGCTTATTCTTGATGGATCAGATGTGTGTATTTGTAGAATAAGTTGACCTTGAGGTAATATTTAGTGTTAAGAAGGGAGCGGCAGATCTTGGCCCTTAATAAAATGTAAAAATAGACTTGCTGCCATCTAAAAATGCTGTTTGCTCACTTCTTTTGTCTCAACTTAGACAAAGAAAATAAACTGTCTTTTAACTTACTAACAATTTAATTCCCTTTCAGGTTCTTGGTTTCTGCAGTTTGGGCAATTTATATAGCCTTGACAAGGAAATATGTGGATTTGAGATTTTTTAAGTGGCTCTTCTAGGATTTTCTTCACAGGAAATCATGGAATCTACTCTTTTGAAGTTCTGTAGAAGCTATTCTTTAAAGAAATATGATTGAAGAGTTTATGCATCCCTTTAATAATAGCAGGATCCTTTTTGTTTTATCTCTGGGTACTGAAAAAAAGGCAAATAAAACCGTTGCCTCACAAGTTTAAAAGGGATATGCAGAGAGTCACTTATGTGTGTAAGCAATGTTTGTTTGTCTGGCTGAGCTCAGCCTGTGCTCCATGGAGGCAGAGGCATAACCCTGCTCTCCCTTGTGTTTTTGGGGATGGGCAACCACTGGCAGCTCCCACACATACACTTGGCCATTATTACCCAAAACAGAAGAGAATGAGGCAGAGAAAAGTGGGAGAAGATTTATTGACTGAGTAAAATGCTGAAAGCAAGGCCTTGGCCAGCTGTGGCAGAGATAATTGTGGGGTGTTTTGTGAGCTTTACTTTGATAATCTTCCAAAGCAGGCAGTCTGGCTTGCAGGCAGTGACTGTGTCTTTGATTTTGGGACAAGCCGGAAGAAGCTGCTTGACAACCCATGCAAAATATTTAACTGCAAAGAACAAACAAGACTCTGGACAGGCAAATAAACAATGGATTAATTTATGAGATTTTAATGATGGAAGAAAAGCCCATTAAATCCAGTCATAAACATCTCACATGGAAGCAGCTCAAGACCATGGAAACCACGTAAAAAATGCCTCTGTTGGGAAAGCACGCAAGCATCCAGGGCGTGTGCTGGAGGGAAGACCTGCTTGGCTCAGGAGCCTGGCACAGCCCAACACAACACTTCACCTGGTGCTTTGGGTCCAGCCTGAGCAGGCCTGTGAGGTGGGAGATCAACATTTTTGAGTTCAGATGGGAGCACATTCATGCTTGCTACCTACATCTGCACCTAGCAAGACCTCTTCATCCCTACAGCATGTCAGATCCTAGAAGCTGTCAGTTATTGTATTCACAGGGACCTCCGTGGCAGGTAGGAATGATGCATCTGACTCCATGTTCTCAGAAGGCTAATTTATTACTTTATAATACTATATTATATTAAAGAATACTATACTATACTATAATATACTAAAGAATACAGAAAAGATACTTACTCAATGCTAAAAATAATAATAATAATGAAGACTCTTGACTCTTTCCAGAATCCCAACACAGCTTGGCCCTGATTGGCCAAAGAGTCCAAACAACTCACACTGGTGACCAATCAAACAATCACCTGTGGGTAAACAATCTCCAAACACATTCCACACAGGAGAAGCAAATGAGATAAGAATTGTTTTCCTTTTCTTTGAGGCTTCTCAGCTTCCCAGGAGAAAAATCTGGCCAAAGGGATTTTTTTAGGGAATGTGAATGCCAGTGATGGATTTTGGAGGACACCAACTGGAGGCAATGCTCCCAATGTTCTCTTCGTTGGCAGTGTCAGTCCAACAGCAATTCACCTCAGTGATGCTGCTGCCTCCCCTCATGCCCAGGGCTGAGATCAGACTTAAAGCTTTGGTGATTCAGGAACAGATTCACATTGTTGCCTCAGGGGTGGGTCAGGCCACATCATGGTGAAGTGTCAGCTTCAGCTGACTGATCTTTTGCCATAGTGAATTTGTATATCATAGATACCTCACTATGGTATGGAAAGGGATTTCTGCTCCGAAGATCTGAGAGCTGGGAAAACTGTGTAGCTAAGAACTAAGGTGAATTGAAGCAAGCCCAATTATACCAATTATCTTTTGTGTCTTCCACTTCTTTGGAAGAATGAGGATTTTTTTTTAGAGTACAGTCACTTTGAGCTGATATAAGCCTGTGCTGCTGCTGAGATGGGACATTTTTCTCCCTCCTCTCTCTGATTCCCATTCCCAGCCCTGTATTTGTGCTGACAGTAGCTGCTATGTTGAGGGATCAGACAACTGATTGAGCAAAAAACCAATTTGCCATGTCTGTCCTTGGAGAGAACTTCCTATGCTACAAGTCCATTCTGTTATCCTGCAAAAGTTCTCCTTCCATGCCTCAGTTTATCCATCAGTACACTGGTAAGCACTACTTAAGCTCGAAGAAATATTATTTCAAATTGCTTTGAAAAGTGCCATTTGCAGTAACAGTGCAATGTAAGTAATACCAGATACAAACAGATAGATACATTTCTAGAATTTGAGACCATAGAGGATGACTTTTTGAAGTGATTATTTAACCAGTTCGTGTTCCACAGATGAGAACATGCCCCTTTGTATTTGATTTCATCTTTATTTTTCAACATACTGCTCAACAACAGCTACTGTCTTGAAGAAACAAGCAGTTGAATTTGAAGGAGCAATTTCTTAAGGCTGTTAGTAGGGAATGTTTGGCCATGTAATAATTCTGAAAGGATTCTTTAACTTCTCATTAAAGAAAAGACAGCTTCAACAGAGATGAAACCTAGTAGCAGCTTACACTTTCTTTAGGTCCATCTCATTTTTCTGCTCTTTCTTACTTGGCTCTACTGCCATTGCACAGATATGCAAGCTGAGCCTCACCCCACAGCCATCAGGTGTGTGGACACTGACAACAGGAAATGCTCTGAGTGCAACACTGGCTGAAACTGTGGCTCCATTGTGATGAATAGTAAAATTCTCCATTTGATTTCAGTAAGGCCAAGAGGAAGACACCTTGGAAGGGAAGAGGGATGTTCCCTTTAAGAGACTTTTACTGGGGTTCTTGGAAAATTATGTATCTCAAACGCTTAATAATAAAGGAAAGCGCAAGTCTTTATTGTTAACCTTTTTGCCTCCGATAAACTACAGTGCAAATTATGTCTGTTTGTCTCTTTGATGTGTTAAGAGGATGAAAGGGATAATGCTGTCTCTAAAACCACTTGCTTCTCTCTAGAAATTATGTACTTATTGCTCTTTTCAGCAGCTGGACTAATTAAAAGAGGAGCTGAAATACATCCCTGTTTTAGTTTTACTCAGTGTGCTTACTTTATGGTCACAGACCTTTGCTGAATAATTAGACTGCTGCTTCTAGAGAGGCAGTTAGCATCCTTTTCTGCCTGTAGTGTGTGCTTTCACACAGTGGCAAGTGAGGAGAGGCAAAAAGAAAGGATCTCTATTGTAAAAAAGAATCAAAGACAGTGGAAGAACCCAGGAGGAAATCTACAATACTAAGTGGAATCTGCCAATTTAATAAATGCAAACTAATTTGTCTTTTTAAAATACCCTTCTCCTTTAGTTTCTTCTGAGTATTTATGACCTGGCATTTGTGTTCTTATTGGCACTGTGGCCTTGTGGCTTCATTTGAGGAAAGCTGTGGCAGGAAGACATAGCCAGGTTAAGACTCTTCAGAGGTTGCCACATCACCCTTCAGGCTTCAATTCTTTCTGGGACAGAGGATCTTATTCTGGGCAGAAAAGTTATACTAGTATGATCAGGAAGAGAATTTGTCTTCTCTGTGCTGCAAGACAAGGAACAGGAACAGGTAATGAATGTAGAACTTTTGAGTAAGTGACAGCATTGATGATGTTAGACTTCTGCAATAGGAGAGAATGTTTGAAAATCTGCAGAGAAGAAGCAGCTGCAGTATTGAAATGAATTCATGACCACATAACATCAGAATGTGCTTGTGTCCTAAAGGTAGAGCAGTGGTGCTGGACCTGTCTTGAGGACTTGCCTCTGGTAAGGGTGTGAGACCTGCAACATGTTGACAACTTAACTTGCAGTTAATGTTGCCCAGAAACAGTCCACACACACTGCAGCAACCCTCCTCAAATTTTAATCCTTACAGCTCCTGTGGAGTGTGTAGTCCAGCCCTAACCAAGGACTGAAGATGCTCTCAGTCTGCCAGGCCTCTGTCCCTGCTGGTGGCTGGCCTTCCTGCCCTGTGGCCTTCCTTCCAGTCTGCCCCTCACCATGTCCCTGTTCTTGCAGGACAGAGAGGGACATCCACATGCCCAAGGGAGGTCCTGCTGCTGACAACTGCATCATCCTGTAGTGGTCAGGGGTCCTTCAGGGATTGTGGAGAGAAAAATCCTGGGCACTGGCAGGCTTGCAGGGACTCCTGGGAGCTACTTGAAGAGACCTCAGGATCAAAAGTGAGTAACCCCAGCATTCTTTCCAAAATAAAAAGCAAGTTTCTTTGCCTTTGTCCATGCTAGGAACCTAAACATGTGAACTGAAGTAACCCATTTGCTAAGATTGAATGCATCTGGATGTGTCTGAGTGCATCTGGCCTTCACTTCTCTAGACAGAGGCTGGGGGGGAGGGGAAGAGAGGTTGGGAAGGGTTTAGATAGGCAGAAACACACAAAAACACACATATATTTTTAAGGAAACATGAGTCACTTGCACTCCAAGTTTATTCCAAAAAATAAATTCCCAGACCGCCCTAACTCCTGCCCCCAGCTCTCGAGGCAGGCCCTGTGCAACTGGGTGTGATAAATATGGATAAAAATTGGATACATCTGTGGGGAGGAGACAAAACGCTATTTTCCAACCTGCCCTGACATGTTAAGGCCACTGCACTTCTGAGTCACTCCCCTGTCTCTGAGAGCCCCTCCTGCTGTGGCCTCCTCCTGGCCCCCTCATGCTGCCAGCTGCATGCCAAGCAAGTGCCAGCAGCTGCTCCACCACCACCAGCAGCAGGGCAGGGGAGGCATGGCCAGGAAGGGCCAGGGGACAGCTGACATCCATGTGTCCCACAGGCTCTTCTCACACTGCTCCTGGTGTGCGAGGAGTGGGTGTTGGGGGAGCCAGCACCCTCCCTCCAAAGCTCACAGCCCCACAGCCCCTGTGTCCCACAGGCCATTGTTCTCCTTCCTCCTGCCTCCCGTTGTCCCTGCTGCCAAGGGGATCTGTGCTAGATTGCTCTGCAGATCAGATCCTTGCCACGAGAGAGACGTGCTGCCCCTGCAGCAGGAGGGGCTTATGCCCACCCAGCTGCCTGACAGCCACAGCCTGTGCCCAGGGATGCTCTGCCGCTGGCAGGGCTAGTTCTGTGCCACTCCAGCACATGGCACATCCATGGAGCCACCTTGCCTGGCCAGTGTGCAAGGTGTCACATGTCTGAGGGACGGGCCACTGTAGGGACAGGTCCGTGCATGTGGCACCGAGGTGGGGAGAAGCTCTCTGTGCTTGTGACCCAGGGGGAGCTTTGGCAGGAGACCAGCCTCCCAGGATGGCTGCAGGTGCTGGTGGCCAGCCTGCTGGGCAGATGACCCTGTCATCACCTGTTCCCTGTGTCCTGAGGGCTTGGCAGGGAAGGGCACTGCACAGGCAGACTCTCTGCTGCAGCCCCTGCTGTGGGGACCTCTGAAGCACCATCCTTGACACCAGCTCTTTACAGTCTTTGAGATCTGAGTGCCTGCAGATCTGACAGCTCCCCTGGTAAGAGGAGTCGGCAGTACTGAAATATGCAGCAGCTTCAAGGGTGGGTGACTTGAGGGCACCTCACCTCCCAGTCCTTAGGGCTGCAGCTCCCAACAAAGCAGCCCATGATGCTGACAGCTGGCTGCTGCAAGCAGGTCTGGACGCCTCCAGGTGTAAACAGCCCAGGTTCGTGGCCATAACTACAGCAAATTTGCACTCAACAGTAAATGCTTTTTGCTCAACCATATCAAGATAATACTTGCTGGTTCAGCAGAAACTGGGATGGGGCTTGAGTATAAAAAAAGATTGTTCTGCTTTAACAAGGCTTTCCCTTCGAGAGAATAATATTGGAAGAGCTAAATCCCAGATTGGAAACAATGTGTGGGTTTTGTTTTCTTTTTTTCCTTCACTTTTTTCTCCCTTGCCTTCATTCTTGGTGTTGGGGCTGGAGAGGAAAATCTCTGTCTTGCCAAACTAAACAAATTACGCTTTACAATTCAGAGACTTAAATGCCTCTTTTTATCATCATTTCCGTAGCACTGAGTGTTGAGAAAATAAAAGGAGTAATAAGCAAAGTGATTGCATACCTTTTTCTTAATGGCCATTGGCAAACAAATTCAGCCAGTTGTTTCTCTTTAAGGCTATTAAGTTTGCCTGAAAATCATTCCTGGGTAAACCTACACACACACACACACTCCATGCTGACAAGAAAAAAAGTACATAAAGCAGAGCCCCTTCGTTCTCTTATTGCTGTCCCTGCAGATCTCTCTGCTTCCCATGACAGCGCATGAGATCAAACCCCTCTGACCACACTGAAGGAAGGGGGCTCATTCGACCATGCCGGGAACACACACGCTCTCTTACAGTACCTCTTGGCAAGCAGGAGATGAGCAGGAGCTGGAGAAGAGTGAGTCCTACAAGTGTCCAGGGTGCTCGCTCCATACTGCCCAGGCCAGTGCAGCGGTGTGACTGCTCGGGAAGGGAAAGCAGGCAAACAGCTTTTACTGGGACCTCACCAGCTCCAGGCTGCGAGGGATCTCGGGTTTCAGACCTCAGCACGCTCCCATCCTCACCAGAGGGGAACTACCTTCAAGAGACTTCTCAGGCGTCCAGAAGCACACGTCACCCCAAACCTCTCCAACTGCTGCCTTAACCCTTTCTGGACTCTGGCAACAGATCCTTTCTGTGATGGCTTTATTGGCTCAGTGCTCACAACAGAGATAGCAGCTTTCCTTATGTAAAGAAAGCTGTTTTACAGCGGGCAGAGAGAGAAATGCAGATATCTCTCTATATGAGCCATCCCGGTTGCTGCGGCTGAGCTGAAGTTACGGACATCTCCAGAAGGAGGCACTTTGTCCTTGCTCCCGTTGGGCTCGTGGGGCTGATGCATCCCGGGGGTGGCAAGGCTGGGTGTGGGGTGGGTGCAGAGAGGGATTCCTGTCCCACACTCCCGCAATTGGCAGCCTGGCCAAGTGACATGGTTCACTTTACGATGTGCTTAAAATAGCCGTGCATTTTTATGGTGGGGCAGATGAATGAATGAGGCTCAGTAAAAGTTCACTCCACAGTGGATGAAAACCACAACACACAAAAGGAATCACTTGGCATACGTGTGCTTGTGCTAGTCAAAACCTTTTTACTGTCCATTTCTGCCAGGAAATGCAATTTTGGCAAAATTGAAATGTTTTGTCAGAACACGCTGATATTGAGGAAATGTTTAATCCAAACAAAGGAGACCATTTAGTTTGGATTTTATCTTTGTGTCATATTTTGTTTTGCCTTTTCTATTAGCACATGCTACTGACTTTTTTTCTGGTCTTCAACCCATATTTCATGGTAGCCTACTTAATTTTCTCTATAATTTTTCTTGAATAATTTTTAATACTTTCCAAAGAACATGTTTTTTACCTCTAAATCATACTTTCTCAGTTTGATTTCTATTGCAAAATTTCAATATTTACATATATTATGAGGGGGAGAAATTGAAAAATGGGCTTTTGCTTTGGAGTAGGAAATCGAGTAACCCAAAAAGCTTTAACAGATACCTACAGTTTGTAAAACTCAGGCATGTTGAGCAGCCTCAAAAATTTGAGAGCCATTGCCAATGGAAGCCTTGAGTAGTTCAGTGCAGTGCAAAATCCCCTTCACCTTCAGGTGGTCTTTCATGGGGTGAATTCCTTTAACCAAACGTCTCTCTAGTTTAGCCTTGTCTGTCTGCCAACCTCTTGACTTTACACTGTGAACAGTCTTTTCAGGGTTCGTCCACCTTCCATACAAAACACTACCAAAGTATTTTTTTCCCAAATCTTTAACACTGGTAAAAACCTACCACTGAGAATACTAATAGAAGAAAACCTGAGATGGGTGTCAAGATTATATGCCATTATGGCACATAATCCTTGCTGAGCTAGCCTGGCTGCTGCCCTGGATGCTTTTCAGTTCAGGAGGAGCTCACCAAAGCTCTCCAAGTCCCACTGGGCCTTATTATGGCTCAGTTACTACATTCTCCTGGAGCCCTTGGTGGACATCTCTTGCCCCAGGGTCCTGAAACTCAGCCTTGGTGGTCCCTTGCTCCTTTCTGATCATTCATGTATATGCTCTAAACTCCTTCCTGATTCCAGCTTTGAGCTCCTCTAACAAGCATTTCTGGTCAGTGGCAGGAGGAAAAAAATGGAGGATCAAAATGAAGCCCCCAAGAATACATGAAAACTGTGAAAACTGGAAGCTCTTACATCTTCACAAAGAAACACTAATCTATTTTAAAGCCTGTGGAATAATGATCAGTTTATTTCCTAGCCATTCTTTCCAGTAAGCAATTAAATCATTTAAGCTAGTAAGACCTTTTTGGACTGCAAGTTGACTTACAGATGTCTGAGGCTTAGATATCTCTGAGGGGGACTGCTCATGGGGATGCAAACCAAAATGTGGGTTTGGTATGTAAAGTGAATGGAAATCACAGAGTGCTGAATGACGCTGGACACAGGGAAGAAGAGTTTTAACATCAGACACAGAGGATTTAACACATGGTTTCATAAAGGCAAGAACCACTAGGGAAAATATGCCCACAAGGGCCACAACTATTAATTTGAGTCAATTCCTGTGGTGGGACATTCAACATGCTAGAAAAGAAATAGGTGAAGTTGTGTGTTTGCAGGAATCAGCTCTGCAGGGACACCTTCTCTTTTAGGGTAGAAAAGTGGTCCTTCTGTGCTAAAGAGGTGTGAAGTAAAGGGTTAACTGGTAGATTTATGGCATCCTGTTTTCCTTTCTTTGTCTCTGAGGGAATGTAATTATGCCACCAGACAATACAGCCACACTCAGCATTACTCTATAGTGCTTAGCTTGGCACCTTGCAAAATCTTTTCAGTTGGTGGATCCACTGCCTCCTTAGAGAATGGCTCAGCAGCCAAAGAAGAGAATTCAGTCATAAGCCCACAAGTTTGCACATGGCCAACTTACACAGGTTGTCTGTCGGGATGTAGCCTTAGTCCCAGGAATGACTATGGGCAACTTACACAATGCTCCTGAATGCCCTGCTTGCATTCCTATTAAGAGGCAGGGACCAAACTAGGCACAGTGCACCAGCCAAATATTTCAGGTTGTATGTAATCCCCCATGAAAGAAAGCTAAAAGCTCTTAACCATGTGTCTGTGCTGCTGAGGAATCTCACTGTAGCATTTGGCTTCAATGCTGTATCTGCCTTACCATTGAATGTAAGGGTTTGGAAAGTACATTCCATTGAGGCTGAATTGTAAAAGAGAGTGCTGCAAAAACTGATAGAGTTATTGTGTATTAATAATAACTTCCAAGTACCTAGCAATCCATTTCAACCTAGAGTAAAACAACACCTTCAATAACTAATAATTGACCACTGAGTGAATAATTAATGCACAATTAATATCTCCAGCTCATGTTTCTAATAATTTGCCATGAAATCTGAAAAACAGTGTGTGGTCCAACCTGCAAAAACAGAAAGAATGCCATTATTTTATACTGGGGAAAAGTGACATGCAGGGATATGAGCTGAGGCACATATCCTGAAAAATAGTGGCAGGTTCCAACAGAGTGGGACACAAACTTCATTCCATTTGGTACTTGTAGCTCTGGACTGTCCTGCTGAGAGGACTCAGTGAAGAATAATTAAAGATGGATATATAGTTCTGAATAAATTCTGTTTGGACTTGAAATAAAAATTATTGCTTTTCAGTCTTAAAAATTTTAGTGAACTTTTTATTTCCCCCCAACCTACGGAAATCTCTTGTTTCTATTACTGGAACGTTGCCAGAAAAATTTCTGCTTTTGTGACTTCTGCTCAAACGATTCTGTCCCAAATGTTCTTGATCATCATCCAAAGCTCCAGAGGTTCAGCAGAGGAAATTGGTGATTTTCAATGTTACACACCTCTGCTACTACAGAATAGATGCCTTCACAGGAACTCCTTCTTACAAGAACATTTGGAGCCCATTTCTTTTTTACAAGCAATATTCCCACTTAACTAGAGGAGTCTTCTGCCAGAGAAAGAGTTTGAATCATCTGGACTCAAACATGCTCCCAAGATTGTTGGAATTAGGTCTTGGACTTTACTGACTGCCCAATAATACCCATTCCACTCAAACAATATATGAAGAAACCACTGGAAAGACATCATAAAAGAAAATGGACCCATTGAGAGGGTGGAAATTATTTGTATCTCAGGGGGAAATGAATTTCAGATGAAACTCAGATCTGGCACTTCAGGAGTAACAGCAAGAGAGGTTAATGAAAGATTAACACTAATATTTTGCTTTTCCCTTCAAAGCATTGTTGTCCTATAGGGAGAATCCTTTTAGAGGAGAGATTATAAAATGTTTGCCTTTAAAATAAAGCTTCTAAACGAAATTCCAGACCTTACTGGAATGTCTGAGGAACATTTTATAAGTTCCTAGAATTATCAAGAGTATACTTTGCCCTTTGGGCTTCAAGTTCAGCTGATCATGTGCAATGCAAATATCCAGTGTTCATGAATGACACTGGAATTGTGGCAGCCTACCCACACAGGCATCTACAGATGAGAGCCTTTTGTTTGGCTTTTTCTGGCCTGAGCTCTGCAAAATATTCCCATCTCTCTGTAGGGCGTTAATCCTGTGACTGAAGCATTACAGTCCAGGAGAGCTAACGGGGTGTGAATAGAAGTGGCCAAAAGAGGTAGGAGTTGCAGTGCCAGCACAAAATACAGCCCTTGACCTAATGGCACATGTAAAGAAAATGATAATGCTTTGTTAGAAAGCATTTGTGTTTGATAATGTATTTGTTAGAAATATTTCGTTAGGAAAATTGAAACAGTTTAAAGTTTACAATTCCAAATATAATTCTGGACAGGTCAGGAGAAAAATGTGGCCAGAAAAATATGACTGCTTAATGGCATTTATCAAACAACATGCCTTTTTTCCAGTTATTATTGCATGTCTTTGTCTGGATGGTTTTTTCAGTGATCCTTCTGTGTTTCACTTTTGTATGCAGTATATGATAATCTTCACCATAGCAACATGTAAGAAAAGAAACAGGTGGAAGATTTGGCTTGAAATTAAAACTAGCCAGTAGGCAATCCTACTTAACAACCAGTCAGACACTGATATTACTGTCTAAGAGGATAATTATTTATTATCCTTTGTGGAAATTAACAGCTTTTAGATTCAATCATTCTTGTATACACATTTTTTGTTTGAAGGTTAACAAATAAGGCTTTCTAGGTTAATGAATAAAACTTTTAGTCTGTATAGCAAATTCAAACTGATCACCAAAACATGACACACAGAAGATTAGGAATTGTTTTGATTTTATTTAAGTGGACTTATGTTTTATGGTCTTGGGTACATGTGAATCAGGATGGAAGCCAAGAAAAGAGTAAGGTTTTGGGACAGAAACCTAACCATGTTCCACCAAGAAAGCCAACTGCAGCATGAAGTCCAGTCAGATGA